CCACGAAAATTTCATTTGAGGAAAGGGTCATACTGCTTTAAAAAGTTTCAAAACCCTGATGGAGAGAATGTCAAGGATTTAAAATCTGAAGATTTTACAAGAATCCATGAAATAGAAGAACTAAATACTAAGCACGTTCATTTAGTAAGACAAGTAACAGTGCAAGTTCCCCCAGTGAGGAGGAGATGAGGTGAGACTTAGGACCTCTTGTATAAGGCAGGGGAGATGTGTGTGGCCAGCTAAGGCCCCCTTCACCTCCATGACCTGGATCCTGCCCCCTCACCAGTTTGTCTTAAGGAGCACAGTTCCTCCGATGCCCACTGGAGCTGCTTCTTGGCAGGCTTGAGCTGGCTACTCGGAAACTCCTCAGTCTCTTCCCCAGCTGCTAGCGTCTCTGCAATCATGTCCTCTCTTCGTTCAAAAAACAAGACCTAAAACAGGTATAACCGAGGCTGAAGAAGGGAATCACGTTGGGACTTGAGGACAGAAGAACAGAAAAAAATATGTAGAAAATATCCTGGACACAGAAAAAGGGAGGGAAAAAGCAGAGCCACCTTCTGTTTTCTGGGCATACTCACTGTTTCCGTGAGCATAGTCACTAGCCTTTGCATCCAGCTGTGCTGAGTGGGAACCCAATTTGATAGTCTTACCCAATGATGTGGCCATGCTCCTGCTCAGCCTGGTTGCTCCGCCCCACAGGTGCCCCTCTTACCTGTTCAGGCCCATCAAGATCTCTCTCCACATCCTCCAGCAGAGTCACAGCTTCCTCTCCACTCTTTGGACAATGCTTCTGCACCCAGGCCTGCAGCTCTTCTGGAAGCATGGCCAGGAACTGCTCCAGCACCAGCAGCTCTAGGATCTGCTCTTTGGTATGCACCTCGGGCCTCAGCCAGAGATGACAAAGTTCCCGGAGGCGGCACAGAGCCTCTCGGGGCCCAGGTGAATCCTGGTAGCCAAACTGCCTGAACTGCTGACGACAAGTCTCTGGGTCATGGGAGCTGCTCCAGTGGAGGCTAGAGACTGCATCACAAGCCTCTTCTTCCTCTTCCATCTTCACTGTCAGGATCCCGTCAGCCTCCTCTGAAGTTTGTGTTACGAGCATTGGCGACTCTCTCAATTTGGCAGACATTCTGACTGGCAATAGCCCAGTACTGCTGGGCTTAAATCCTCAAGGAGGTGGATCTCGATATGAACACTCCTTAAATATGATTAAATAAACAAGTGGAAACAAGACAAAAAAGAAATGCTTCTGAGAACAAAACAACTAAGACTAGAAACATAAAACTGTGCGGGAAATAGTGACCTTAACATTAATATAAATCATGTGTTCCAAGAACCAAGGAGCTAAGACTCATTAATTTCATATGCATGAGTAACTCCTAATTAATTCTGAAACCCATGCCCACGAGGCTACTAAGTAGTACAATAAGAGATCAGCCAGAATTACATAGGAGCTCCCAGAAAACAAAAGTAACGGAAACCTGAGGACAGCTATGAGTCAGGACCAGGTTCAGGGAGCCAATTAGTTTTACGTCGTCTGCTGCAAAGAGCTCAGAGAAATAGTCTCAGGAGAGAATACTTTCATGTGGAATTTTTTCAACTTTCACTGTGAAACCATTTTGACACTAATGGAACCATTCAAAAGGAAAAAGCAATCACATATTCCTCCACCTTAATCTCTTTCGATTTTTCTCAGTTGCTTCTACTTTCCATCCATAGCATCTATATTACTTGACACTCTCTTTACCGTAGAAAATTTAGGTCGTTTCTAATTTTCACTATTACAAATAATGCTGGGAGGCATGAATATACTATTTTTTTCTGTTCAGATCATTTTCTTCACGCATGTCCCCAGGCCTCTGCTTACTGGTGTCAAAGGTGAGAGGTAAATTATGTCTTCTTATGTATTATCAAATAAATTGCAAACAAGACTGTATCAATTCACAGTGCCACCACCCTAACATAGTGACATGTGAAGACAATGATTTCTCTGAGTATTACCGGCTTGTTAGCAGGAAAGGAGTGGAGAAGACACTTTTCTTCAGTGTCTACCAACAACAGTAACTAATCCAATTTTCTTTTCTTTTCTTTTTTTGAGAAAGAGCCTCAAGCTGTCCTCCTGGGTAAAGTGCCAGGGTATCACAGCTCACAGCAACCTCCAACTCCTGGGCTCAAGCGAGTCTCCTGCCTCCGCCTCCCAACTAGCTGGGACCACAGGTGCCTGCCACAGTGCCCAGCTGTTTTTTGGTTGCAGACGTTATTGTTGTTTGGCGGGCCAGGGCTGGATTCGAACCCGCCATCTTAGGTGTATGTGGCTGGCGCCTTAGCCACTTGAGCCATAGGCGCCGAGCCAACTAATCCAATTTTCAAAACTGGGCAGTGGGTGATAGTGGTTGTACAAGTTCAGCAAATGATAACTCAGTAAAAATCTGACATACGCCCCTGTTTTTCCTTTTATCTTGTTTGCTCACTTCACCAAGCACTGTTGTAGGCATTGAAGATACAACAGTGACTTGAACAAAGCCTGTGGCTTCATAAAGTTAACAAGTAAATGATACAACTTTATGTGATGATAAGCTATGATGCAAGTAATAGCAGACGCAGAATTTACTACATGCCAAGCACTGTTCTAAACATTTCAAGATGAAGTTTGTGTTACGAGCATTGGCGACTCTCTCAATTTGGCAGACATTCTGACTGGCAATAGCCCAGTACTGCTGGGCTTAAATCCTCAAGGAGGTGGATCTCGATATGAACACTCCTTAAATATGATTAAATAAACAAGTGGAAACAAGACAAAAAAGAAATGCTTCTGAGAACAAAACAACTAAGACTAGAAACATAAAACTGTGC